TCCGTGTTAAAGATGATCCGCATCCGAGGTTTTTATATCTTTAGTTTTACTAAAGGCTCCGCTATTGATTTTCAGCATATGTCTTCGTGTAACCTAATTTTTACCATTAATATTAAATATTTTTTTGTTGATGAACTTCACTAAGAATAAAAATTTCGAACATAATACTCATAAAAATATCACCTTATTTTTAGCACCTTGTACTAGCTCAGCTAAACTTCATAATCATTCATGGGTCAATGCGATAATCCCCTAAGTGATCCATTCATTCTTAATCTATGAAATGATTTTCTTCAATTACGCAATGTAACGTCGAAACTTAAGAATAGATGCTATTAATAATCAAAGAAATGCTAATAATACCTTTATATGATTACATTTACTATCTAATTAAAAAATCATTCTGGCAACTTCCAGCAGAGCTTAGAAATTTTGACGTGAGCCAGCTTCCACCTGATCTGTGGATTTTGGATATACCTTAAAGTGGGGTGTAGGTAATGACTCTGCTATATAAAGGGGCGAAAAATACTTTCTACTCGCTTCATAGCAATATTTGCGACTTAAGAAACAAAAACATTTAATAATCTTAATCAATAATAGAGATACAAAAATAAAACACGAAAACAAAACCCACTTATATTACCTGTTTTACGCAAATTAAGGTAGATATATCACAGCATTGTTTGTATGCTAGGTTATCTATCTCCACACTCGTGTACTTATGCTAACAACCATTTTTTCCGGTTATAGGTGTCTCTAAACAATATTCGGAAATTGTCCCTTTTTTGGACTTCGCCGGTTTATTGATATTCGTTGAGAAAATCTCCGTGTACTTACGCGCTTGATGTAATTTTACGCGCGGTTATTATTTAACTGTTGATTGGTTGATTATGATGACGTAAGTGGAAATAACGACGTATGCATATATGTAAGATTTTCTGGCCTATCAGCTATAGAAAGGAAATTTAGACGTTTTTTAAGAAGACATGTCACTTAAGGATTTCTTTGGCAAAACAAATGTTTCTGAATGGAGATGTGAAAACGTTGTCAACTACTACTGGGAAAATGTTTCGCAATATGCAACTCTTAGAAGAATTCTTTACGATATCAACTCAGAGCTCAAGCAGATTAAACAAGTTGACTCTAATACATTGCGAGGAAGAACAGCTCGGTAAGTACGCTTTTAGTGAGTGTGATGAGCTAGCAGTGAGTTTTGAGGGGGATAAAGTCTCGTTTTGTGAGACTAAAGAATGCGTCGAGATATGGCCAAGCTGGGACACGCTAGGTCGACCGGTCATGAACGCAAGGTTCGTGCCTATCTCGACAGTTGAGATATGGTCAAGCTGGGACACGCTAGGTCGACTGGTCATGAACGCAA